ATAATATTTTATTGAGAAAAAAAAAATACATTTTGCCTCAATTAAGGGCATTGAGTATTTAGGATAAGTGAAACACAATCATATCATATATACAATAAAAGAAAAACAAGATTATAACAAAATAAAATAAAATAAAACTTGGAGTAACAGAATAAATCAACCATGATACAACATTAAATAAATAAATTTAAAAAAATAAATAAATAGCAACACATCCGTACTTATTTACAATATTTACAGTCAGCCGAGGGAGCTCCGAGTCGGGCCTTTTCCCCCACGTGTGGAGGACAAGGCATGACTCCTGCGCTTCTCTCTCAGCCGCATCACTAGGATGGGAGTCCAGTGGAAACTAAGAGAGAGAGAGAGCACTAAAACCACACACGCTCATGACTTGAGTGGAGAAGCTAGCCATTGCCAGGACTCCAATGACGTCTTTACAAAAGATCTCGAGGCCACTGCCACTTCAACCTTCGAGGAGGATTGTAGGGATGACTGGAACTGGATAAGGATTGTGCTAAGGGATTAGGATGATATGTTAGGTTCTGATAAAAATTCAAAAATTCAGTTCAAGTCCGTAGGTCCTGATGGGTTTCAGTATGGTCTTGTATATTAATAGTTTGTTTTCAATTGAGAAGTTAGATTTTCTGTTAAGTAGTCTGTATAACTGGCCAAGTCGTCGGTTAAGCTCTTGTCTTTTAAGTCTGGTATGTGGGTTCCATGTTAGTCTTTTGTCTAAAAGGAATCCAAGATACCGAACTGTGTCTAAGATTGGAAGAGGTACTGAGTTGAAAAGGATATGTGGACAGGATCTGCGTCGGAGGGTAAAGGTGACATGCATTTGCATTTGGATTCATTGATCTTGATGCGCCAATTGTTGCACCACTGGTCTATTCGGGAGATGTGTCTTTGTGAGTTTAGAGAAGCTGTGTTAGGGTCTGAAGGATGAAGCCTGGGATGAAGGATGAAGGAGAATTAGATTTTATTTTCAAGTTTAGAACGTTTCATAAAAGAAAATAGTTTATCAACCTCAGTTGTATTATACTGTAAACTGGAGTGTAAATCGTTTGTCAAGTCACAAGAGAGTCTAAATGTTTCGTAAGCTCTGCATTCCGTTAAAATGTGTTTCACTGTCAGAGGAGTCCCACAAGTTTGGCATGTTGGCGAAGAATCACGGGCCATCAGGCCATTTATTAGGGAGATGTGTCTTTGAAGGTTTAGGGATGCTGTTTCAGGGTCTGGGTGGGAAGATAGGATGGCGGTATCGTCAGCAAATGTTGCTAGAAGGGTATTAGGATGGGTTGAAATGTCAGCTGTGAAAAGGATGTAGAGAACTGGGCTCAAGACACTGCCTTGTGCAACACCAGCCTCAACTGGATAATAGTTGGAGAATTCAGTGCCGCAGCGGACTTGAAAGGAACGATTTGAGAGGTAGGATTTGAGGACTAGGTACAAGGATTGGGGTAAGTGAGTTTTGAGCTTGAAAAGCAAGCCATCATGCCACACCCGGTCGAAAGCTTGCGCTACGTCCAGAAAGGCACTAGTGCAATATTGCTTGTTTTCAAGCGCAGAGGATATATGGTCAACAACGCGGAGGCCTTGTTGAACAGTGGAATGTCTTGAGCGGAATCCAAACTGATGGGAGGGGATATTGTGGGTTTCGAGAATGGGTAGGATACGTTTGAGAAGGATTTTTTCAAAGATTTTTGAGAGGATCGGAGATAAGCTTATTGGTCTATAGGATGAGGTATTATTAACAGGTTTACCTGGTTTAGGGAAGAGGATAATAATGGAGTGTTTCCATATCAGAGGAAAGTGAGTTGTGCGGAGGGTACAGTTATACAGGTATGTGAGGAACATGATTGCTTTTTTGGGAAGTTGTCTAAGGATCTGGGAAGTAAGGAGATCGTGTCCAGGGGATTTTCGAGTTTTCAAGTTGTTTATATGGAATTTGACCTCAGAGGGGTTGACAGCTTTAGGAGGCAAGGAGAGAGGATTCGGAGAGGAGTTCTTTAACTTCTGCATTGTGGGTGGGATGGAGTTCGGTGTGGGGAGTGAATGTTTTGGATAGGTGTTTGGCAAATTCTTCAGCTCTAGTCTCATCTAGATGAATCCATCATCTCGTCGGAGTGGGTGGGAAATAGATTGGCATTTAAGGATTTTTTTGGTCACTTTCCAGAGGGAGTTGTCATCGGTAGAAAGGGAAGAAAGTTATGAATTGTAGGATTGGGATCTAAAAGTAGCCAGTTCTTTTTTAACCTGTTTGGAATAGTAATTATATAATTTCCAATCATCAAGGTGTCTGGTTCTTTGCCAGAGGGTCCTAGATTGACGTTTGGATTTAATAAGGTCAGTAAGGTTTTGGGGCAAGGGATTCTTTTTGAGGGATTTTTTGGAGGGGAGTGGTGTGGATGCAGTCCAGACTGCTTGTTGGATCAAGGTGGTGAAGGAACTCACTGCATTATCTAGGTCTTGAGGGGTTTTAGGGGTACTCTGAGGTCTATTTCATCTGTTATTGTTTGGCGGGAAAGGTTCCAGTTGACTGGGCCTCTGATGAATGAGGGAGGAGATAATTTGGGGATATGAGATGCGGCAAGGGTTAGGTTTAGCGGACTATGGTCTGAGGAAAGGTCATCGAGCCGTGAATTTGAGAAATTTAGCGGCCCTAGACCTTTGTGAATGAAGAAGTCAAGAAGGTCAGGATTACGGTTAGGATCTGTTGGCCAGTATGTAGGAGTATCAGGAGAAAGGATGTTGCTATTATGGGAATTAAGAGCAGACAGCAATGTTCGCCCGCGGGAATTCGTGGTTCTGGCTCCCCATTGCTGATGTTTGGCATTAAGGTCTGCACCTATAAGGTGAAGGAAGTGGTGTCCTAGGGAATTAAGAAAGGAAATTAAGATAGGTTCAGGTATTGTTTTTTTAGGTGGAGAGTCTGCTGCGACAACTGTAACAGGAAAAAGTGAAGTTTGGATAGTTATTGCTGAGATTTGTAGGAAATTGTGAACTGGTAAGGGATACAAATGATGGGAGAGGGATCGGTGGATGATGGCAGCAGTGCCAGCATGTGCTGTTCCATCAGGGTGGTCAGTTCGATATATCTTGTAGCCAGGTATGTTGAACTGTCGTTTGTTAGTTAGTCGGGTCTCAGTTATTAGGGATATGTCTATGTTATTGTCCTGTAGAAAAAAGGTTAGTTCGTTGATGTGATTTCGAACACCATTCGCATTCCAAAGGAGAATGGAAAGGGGTTTTATTGAGGACATTCTATGAATTCTTGGCGGTGGGATAAGATTAGCTATGACGTTTATAAGTAAGGTGATGAGGGATTTGATTTCGGAGAGGAATGATGTAAGGAGGCTGGTAAGGTCATTAGAATTGTTAGGGAGAGGAATGTAGGATATTTGGTGAGGACTGAACTTTTGGGTGTTATTATGTTCGGGTATTGAACCAGTGGCTGAGTTTGCGGCAGGGCCTGAGGTTGAGAATGCTGCTCTAGTTCTCCTAACATTTGAGCATAAGAGACTTCTTTGTTTGCAAATCTTGAGGGTTGCTTTGGTGGTCTGTGAGTCCTGGGAGTCTCTTCCTGTCTAGGTGCTGTCTGTAATCTTGATTTTAAGATTTTATACGTCTGGCATCCTTTGTAGTTTGCAGGGTGATCTTTATGGCATAATGCGCATACCACAGGAGTTTGCTTGGGCTTATTGCAATCTTCCGACTTATGTTGCTGAACGCAATTCACGCATCGTGGTAAGCGGTGGCAATAGCTTTTAGTATGGCCATATGATTGGGAATTATGACATTGTACTATTTCCCGTTTTGCATATGTTTTTTCGACAACTATACTAGTATAGTACAGGCGTCTTAATTTATAGATGTTATCAACCCCAGTGGTGCGCTGTAGGCCTACAAAAATAGAGGTAGGGCTATTTTGTTGTTTGTACCTGGTTGCTCTTTGTTATCTTTATATACGTTGACAATTTGGGGGACATTGAAACCCAGTTCTGTCAATTCTTCTTTGATTGCATCGGGTGGAGTTGATGGGTGGAGACCTCTTATCACTACTCTTAGTGCTCTCTCTTGGAATAACTGATATGTATGGAATTCCGCTTTTGTATCAGTCAAGTATTTTACTATTTTTTTAAATGATTCAGGAGAATCTGGCATCAACTTGGTGTCATTGATTCGACTTTGACATGTGTATTTACCATTGTCAAGTAATTTATTTAAATGCTGGCAAAATAACGGACAATTTTTTATATTTCTTATGAATATTTGAGGTGGTTTTGGCTCTCTGGGTGTTGATGGTATTTCCGTAGTTTTTTCTGGAGTATTAGATAGTAGTTAGTATAGGTTAGCACTAAAAAATGGTGATTCATCTGTTTCAATGTTTGATTCGGTGGTCATAATTTCTGTTGAGGTACCAGGTTGTGGTTCATTTGGTCTATCAGGTGTAGATGGTGGTGTTTTTCTGTTAGAACGCCTAGGCTTTTGTTTTACTGGTGAATTGAGAGAGCTATTATTGCCTAAGCTTCTTGATATTTTGTTCTTACTAGACATTATCATGTGATAATATCGCATTTCATGTCAACGACTATTGAAAAAGGTTTTTTTTTTTACGTAGAAATTACGCAGACCGATAGAGGACCGAGTAATATAACCTAGCTTACTTGACAGCCCGACAGGCACTGAGACTACCGGGCCCTAAGTGGGGTAACTGTAGATAAGAATGGCCACTCTATCTAATTCTATGGTTGTTTACACTATTGTTTAAACTTAATAAACAAGCGGTTACTCACCGTGTTTATGGTTCTGTTCAAGAATGTACTATATAATTGTTCAATTACACTGATTTTTAAGCATAACTATTCACAAATTCACTGATAATTAAGATACTTGTGAGAGACGATGTAGCAGGTGGGTTGATAGATACTAGCGCATGCGCAGAACTGAATTCTTTTTATTTTGTTTTTAATTAAAGAACAATTATTCATGTGTTACAGGATCCTATCCTTGTAGAACAAATAACCAAGTGGGTGAAGGCGAATGTTAAAATTCCAGTTTTTATAAAATTAACTCCAAATATTACAGATATTTTAACAATAGCGAAGGCAGCAGATCGAGGTATGACTTTAATATTCATTAAATGAAAGAAAAAGAATTTTATAGAAAAACAGATCTAAGTTAAATAGTAATCAATAAAAAAACAAGTAATTTTAACTAAATAGATCTTAATAAGTTGGAAAATATTTAGGAGGTGCTGATGGAGTTACAGCTATTAATACAGTTTCGGGACTCATGGAGATTCAAGGTAATGGAACACCATGGCCTCATGTAGGCAGCGGTAAACGTACAACTTATGGTGGAATGTCTGGCAATGCAGTGAGGCCACTTGGCTTGAGAGCTGTATCCTCTATTTCCAAAGCATGTCCTCGTCTAGCAGTGCTGGGCTCTGGAGGAATTGATAGTTCTGACACGGCTTATCAATATTTTTGCTGTGGTGCTTCTGCTGTACAAGTATGTGTTATTCTATACTTATACATTTAAGATAAAAATACAATATTGTTTTATTTGTTTGTTTTTTTCTAACTTAGAATAAAATATTTGTATTTATTAATATTAAAAATCAACCGAAACCGATATTAATATCGGCCATATCAGCATTTTGGCCGATTGAACCCTGCTATTATAGATTTGTAACTTATGTTGATTGAATATATGTTTATTTAGTATACTATTATAATAGCATGCCAAATTATCGGTTATCGGCCGATATTGAACTCAGATTTCCCGATATATCGATTGTTTTTTCTCATCTCCTCAGATTTTTAGCAGATAAGGATATCCTAAAGATCAATATATCAGCCTTATGACCTTATTTTATTAAGATTAGTAGAGTTTGACTGACTACACTGGGCAACAATGAAAATGTTTCCTTCTAAAAAATAGTCAATCCATATGTACACGCAGTGTCAAAATGTTAGACACACTTCAAAAATTGTTATCCCTACTCTCCCATTTTTTCAAATTACCCGTAAAACAGTATTCTATCACCTACCTGAAGTTAATCAGCTGCCTGCTTGTATTTTGGTTCTCAGACCAAAAATATATACATTTTTTTTTTCGAAATAAAGTTAAAGCCCGTCAAAATGTAAGACACGCTGGTGAAAAATAAATAAAACTCATTTTAATACTTCTTGGCCTTTTCACCACCATTTATTAATTCAAAAATTCTGTTTGCTAATGAATCGTACAATTGCTTGATTGTTTCTTGAGATAATTGTTCCCATAAAGCCAATATTGCAGATTTCAAATTCTCGATTGTTTCGAACTGTCTTGACTCAAAGTACAACCTTCTTGAAAGAGTTCTCCAAACATTTTCGATAATATTCCGGTCTGGGAGACAGCCCAATCTAATTTGGCAATTTTGGTACGAGTTAATCAGTATTTATTATATTTTACTGAATGTATTGGGGCGTTATCTTGCTGAAAAACTGGTGTGCCTTCAGAAATGTCATTAAAAGTCGACTTCTGTGCTCGAACAAATTTTTATATTCAGCTGAGTTTACTCTTGATGAAAAAAATACCAAATTTCCTTCTTTTTTATAACCATTTGATACCCAAACCATAACCTTTTCTGCTTCTATTTGACGCCTTGATAAATTTTTACCTTCTTTTCTTAAGTCATGAAAATAATACGAAATCCATCTGGCCCATCCAGATTGAATTTTTTTTTCATGACTAAAGATGACTTTCTTCCACTCCTCAGTCCATGACATCACATTACGAGCAAAGGCCATCCGGGCTATTTTTTTACGGGTACTCAAAACTGGCTTTGTTTTCAATTTTTTTCCAGCTATTGTTTTTTTACTTTTTTAATAATCTTTGGACATTCCTTAGTTTTGTTTGAACTCCAGCTTCCTCAGCAATGGCTCTTCCTGTTTTACAAGAGTTGGATGCGATTCGAAGAATATCGGTGGGTTCCATATGTCTCCCCGGGCCGAATAAACTTCGTAACCGATGAAAAACCCCGCTTGATTCGGCGGGTTATTTCCCTAAAAATCAGCCTTGTGGAGTGAAGGAATCAAACGGCGCTCTTCTTCAGAGAAACACTTATTTTTTTCCCTTAACTCACGTTCTTTTTATGTCTATATTGAAACGAACACTGCACTGAAGTAAAACTGGTATTTTAACAATTACGACTCTAGAGGATTAAGAAAATAGTAAACAACAAAAACTGTGTCTATCATTTTGACGCATATAAAATGTCAATATTTACTGTTATTGGATCATAATTTATACTTTAAACTGTGCTTAAAAAAATAATATCAATCAAAAATAAAGAAAATGTTTTTGTTTTTTTATTTCAATGAGCGTGTCTAACATTTTGACACCGAGTGTATTTCCATCTTCTGAATTCAAATATCACCATAAAAATGACAGATTAGCTCTTGCTTTGGAGATAAAGTGAAATTTAATTTTTTAGAGTCAACATTTTTAATTTCGATTATTTTTTGGGGGGAGAGTTGGTACACCTTTGAAATAACAAAACACAAATGCTCTTCAGCGGTTTGTAAGTCATAAACATAGTTACTGTTGCTGTGATTGTGAGTTTCATATAGTTTCTGCTGTAATTAATGCATAATTTCTGGTTCGAGAGTACTTTTTTAGTGTAAAATTCGTAAAAATGCCACGAAAATGTGTAAATGTGGTGAATAATTTTTGTTATATTAGTGGTGAAATGACATTTTCCTCACAGAAATTCAATCTGACGCAACTTATATCTGACGCAGAAATTCTTGGGTCTCGACTACAGCAATGGAATCTTCTCGAAAGTAATATCAGAATCTCGGAGTACAGAAAATGTCACAGGGAACTGCTTCCCTTTTTCGAGAAGAAAATAATCTTGTTGTTTGCTGCGACATTAATGGCTTGATGAAATCTTTGAATTTGAACCTTAATCCATTGAATGGAGGCTATTCATAGACTCCTCCAAGCTTAGTTTGAAAGATGTGTTACTCCACAATGGCAACGTTCTTTCTTCTATTCCTGTTGGTCATGCAGTTCACATGAAGAAGACTAGTGCAAATATGACAGCCCTCTTGGAATCACTCAAATATCATGAGCAAAAATGGAAAATCTGTGGTGACCTAAAAGTCATTGGCATACTCTTAGGAATTCAACTGGGGTACACAAATCATTGCTGCTTCTTATGTATGTGGGACAATAGAGATAGGAAATTGAAATCAAGTACTATATGCCCATAGTTAAATATATATATTACATTAATAGATGTGCCATTGTTCTAATTGCATAAATGTTATTAAATATAGACTTTTAATTGTCTAACTCACTCACTTACTCACTTACTTCGCCGGCACTATAGTCCAAGATGGACTTTACCCTACCGTACAATTCGATTCCATACGTCCCGATTCAATGCCATCTATTTCCATCCAGTGATTCCGATCCTTGAAAGATCCTCCTCTAGACCATCCATCCATATTCTCCTAGGGTGTCCTCTTTTTCTTTTGCCGGACACGTTCTCTCCCATTATTCTCTTTGTCGTTCTGTCATCTTCCATTCTCTGCACATGACCAAGCCAGATAATTCTTTGTGATTTTATGAAACGTAAGATATTTTCATGTCTTATCAAGTCTTCCAGCTCCTGGTTATTTCTAATGCACCACACACCCTGGACGCTAATTAAACCAAAAATACGCCTTAGGATTTTTCTTTCAAACATACTTAGCATGTATCGGTCTGCAACTTTCAGAGTCCAGGTTTCTGCGCCATAACAACACAACAGGCATGACAAGTGTTATGGCCAGGGGTACTTCAAAATTGAAAATACAAACCTTTCCCTGGTGAGTTTCCTCAAAGGTGGAGAAAATTCGAGCAAAATTAAATGGTGGGAAAGAAGGAAAAAAAGTAGCGGAAATGAGGCCTGTAAAATATGAAAAATGCATGCACAAGAAAATATTAAAAAATTGAAATATTCAATTAGTAAAAATGGAAAATAAATATAAATCCACTTTTTTGAATGTTTACAATATTCATTATGGTGGAAAAAAAGATATATACAAATGTTGAAAACAAAAAAAAATGAAAGAAGAGTATTAAAATGCACTGAAATAAAATGAAACATAAGATAAAATATTCGGAGAAAATAAAAACAAATTAAATATTACGAAAAAAAATATAAATACAATCAACTTCTAAAACTATAATTAAAACAAGAGAAAACCATAACTGTTCAAAAGAATAAAACTAATTTATGGGGAGAAACAAAAATTAAATTAATGTTTAAATGTCTTGGTGGTGATGAGAATGAAAAAAACGAGCCAAGTTGGAGGTTCTGCTTCCAACCAGGTTACCTTATGCAGCTAATGACAACAGCAGTCGATAGTGGGGGAATCGATATGCATATCGATCCTGATCGATGACATAGATTGGGTCTTTAAAAAGGGGCTTGGTTGGCGCAGGTGAGGTGAAAATGAGACGAGACGACAATGGAGCTGGTGTAAATGGTGGGGGTAGACGTCGACTACATGGATCCAACCTAAACGAAGGATCGCTCCAGACTTAGACCCCATCCCAGCAGTTTTATCGCAATATTTGTGCCTTAATCCCTAAGACTGGGTATTACTGCCGGGCTGGAATGTATACACAAACGAGATAATACATCGCCATTGAAGCTAAATGTATAAACAATGTACAATTCTGGGACAATTGTCCCTCAGTTTTTTACAGAAAAAAAAATATATATAAACATTTTATTATTAACACTTAAAAATGGGTAAATGGTAAGAAAAAAAAAAGATATGAGCAAATGGGGTGTTAACAACAAGCGATTTGCAAAGCTTCATTATAGTATATCTAGAGAGAATAGATGATTTGAATAGATTTACAAGATCTTAATACGCTCTATTTCCTACCTTGATCTGTTTCCTGATTTCTTTACTCGCCTTGTTTTCGCAATTGATATTTACTCTAAGGTAAGTAAAGTGTTCAACTGCTTCAAACGAATAATCATTAAACTGGAAATCGGCCAACCTTCTTGTGTTTAACTCGCAAATAATAATAAATTTCAGATTTATTTTTTAATTAATATAGACAAGATAAGATCCCGTTATAAGTATGCACTTATTTAAAATATCCATATACAATTTTGTAATATATTTTTAAAGTCGTGATTTTTTAAAAATAATTTCCATTTTATGATTACGCCACTGTTTTTAACATGAATTTTTCGGATTTCTTCCATATAAGGGTCTATTTATATATTTTCGGAGCCGCAGTTTTTGAAAATGGTGTCCAATTTGAGATTACGCCACTACGTTTTCCCTTATTTAAGTTTTTCGGATTTATTTCATATAAGAATCTGTTTATAGGTTTTCGGAGACGTAGTTTTTGAAAATGGTATCCTTTTTGGGATTACGCTACTTCGTTTCGACTTATTTGAGTTATTCGGATTTCTTTTATATGAGGATTTATTTAAATGTTTTCGGAGACGTAGTTTACGAAAACGGTGGAGCCGTAAATGAAAATGTGACCTGAATAATGCTGATCTGTTGTGCACTTTTATTTATTTTTTAAATGTTTTAACCAATTATTAAAGGTTTTATTTAATTGGTTTAACGTAAGTTTGAGTAAATTGTTCAAAATAAGAAGCTTTGCATTCATGAAAGAGGTTAAAAAAGCTTTTGTAGTAAATTTCTATTCCCGTATATCGTTTTGGACATCAAGAGTTACGGGATGGACTTAATCCGTAACAACTATTAATATTAACTTTTATTTTATTTAATCATTTAATCATGCATTGACCTTTCTCATGACCTTTATCAAAAAGGCACAAAGTCCTAGATAGCCAGGTCAAGCTATCTCTGATAGCTTAGAAATAGTTACCTAGAATGTACTGACTGAACAGAAGACACTTATCAAGACTTAGGGAACAATAACCGTTTTCAACAAACGAGCACTTTCTCACAGACTTCATGTCAATTCTAAAAGCTAAGGATATCAACAATTAACTTCATTCACACGCTTCCTAGACCGTCCAGAATTGATTCATCCCCCCTACTATTCCTGAGTATATAACCCCCATCCTTCTAAGACCAAATCACTCATGCAGTTGCACTATTGAGCCATACTCTTTACTGTAGGAGACCTGGAGTGAACTGATGTAGTCAACTCATATATCCATAGTATATTATTCTGTATTTTAGATGCCATTTGTAACATTATGAATAAAAGCATTATTTATAAAGTCTCCACTGCCTCCGATTCGTTAACTAAGGAAAAAAGTTAGTTGCGTGACTTCCTGTAGTCTACGTCATGTGATGTTATTGCTACAAAACTGGTTCAGGAATTTTGATAAAATGTAAGTTGGGCCGTTAATATCGTCTACTATTGGTCGACAAGGTCCGTCTTTTTTATGTGTTTTTATCAGATCGTGAATTTTTGGTGTTTGGTGGTAATTGTTTATCAGTTTAAGTCTAGTTTTTTTATCTATAAATTTAAACTTTTCTAATTTATTAACATAATCTGTAACCATTTTATTTAGATCTTTCCCGGGGTCATGTCTAACGGTTTTGTACACGTACTTGTCATTTAATAGATCTAGCATCTTCTTATTATACTGCTCTTTGAGAATAAATGCTAATTTTTTTTGTCTTGTCTGTTTTAATTAAATATAATTCCGGATTTTTATTAAGGAAATTTTTTGTACTTTTACAATCCGGTTTTATTATATTTTTAAATGGAGTAAGATAGTGTTAATTTATGTTGTTTCCTATTTATTATTTTTGTTTTCATTTATGAAATTAAGTACGCATTTATTTATATTATTTCTAAGAGCATTTTTATGACTGTCTGACGTATCAATGTCAGCCAAAATACTTTTTAAATCAGCAATTAGTTCAATAATAGATCATGCTTCTCTACAAATAAAAATTTTAAATAAAAAAAGAGACTGTCATTGGTAATATAATCCTGAACTCATAAGAAAAAAAAACAGTCTAAAATTACCTAATAATAGTTATTTATTTATTTTCTTATAATACTAGACATTTGTCATATTCTTGTTCGTGTAGTTATTCTTAGGGAACTAAATGTCCCAGAATAAAATTTACTTTCTTCTTCTTCTTCTTAAAAAAAAATTTGCTGCTTTGAATGACCACGGAACATATAAATAAAATAAAATTTTCCAATAAAATGTAAATAAGCTTAAAACTATTCCTGTATCTGACCAAATTTTCTGAGGGCAGCCGTTGTCTGGAAAGGACTTACCTTATCCTATATAAGTTACCACCCAAGTATAACAGTTTAAAGTCTACATTTAATTTAAATTTTAAACAAAGTTTTGTATTAGTTATTATGGCTTTGACATGTGACTGGTAAAATAATTATAACTTTTTATTTGTTATCTTTTCAGATTTGTAGTGCAGTGCAAAACCAGGATTACACCCTGATTGAGGATTACATTACAGGGTTGAAAGCAATTTTATACCTGAAAAATGAGTTTCAAAACTGGAATGGCCAATCACCACCAAATATTGTAAATCAGAAAGGAAGACCAATAATTTCAATTACTTATAAAAATGAAGTAAGATAATCTCTTGTAATTAAAACTTTATTTACTAAATAAAATATTAATAAAAAAATATAATTAAAGAGTAGTTAAATTACTTGTATGATAATAAACCAACGGTTTCATGGAATTGCTATATATTCCATACAAATCAGAATATATTTTTATATATAGTAATGAATAAAATATGAAGTTTTTTTATTCCGTTTTGATATCATTAATTTAAAATCCAAAAGTGTTGTCATATAAGATTGAATCGAAAAAAATTTTATTTATCAGACATTTTATTTAAATTTTGATTTTGTGAAATATTCATTAAAAAATTGTATACTATTGTAAATTGT